TTAACAAAAGGAATCCCTAAACAGGAAGCAATGGGAAAGTAATAGTTATTGGGGCTGTTCACAATATTTCTATTCTCCTCTGAGCACAGACTAGGATTGTACATCTATCATCCACTTTGGCCACATGACTTGCTTTGATAAAAGCATTATGATTGTAACTAACATAAATCACATTTAGGTAGACATGTTAAGAAGTCTTGCATGATTCTTCATGTTCTCATGCCCCTGTTACAGTAACAGTGAAAGTACATACCCAGAGGGAGTCCATATTAGCCTACGTCCCTGATTGTCTTTATTGAGTGTAGATCCTAGCCAACTCACATCAGACCTGTAGCTTGAACAGGAAATAAATATATTATTAAGCCTCTGAGACTTGGAGATTGTCTCCCTATCACCATATAACCTTGATTTTGCTAACTGACCTAGGGATTACCATATATTCTTAAATTTGAGTCAGTGAATATTATAGAGTATATAAAAGTTATCCCCAAGCAAAATCCCAGAAAAATGGGTAGAAGAACAATGGAGTAGAAATGGGAAAAAGGCCAAAAGGACCTACAAAAGACAGGGGTAAGATCCTGAGAAAGAATATTTTGTTATTGTTGATCTAACTATATATTTACCTCTTGAAAACATGGAACATATTTATATCAGAAAACACCTTTGAATCTTTGTACAAAACAACCTTAATAAAGATAAAACGGTATAAGGAATTTGTATTTTAAGGGATTTTTAGTAAGTCAATCTTTTAACTCCCATTCAACATGAATTTGACATATAGCAAATTATATTTTGTGGCAAATAAGATTATTGATGATTCTATTATGTAATGACTATAACATGATCTAGCAGTTTATGTCCCCTTCAGAGAGTATACAACATAGAGATGTAAATTTTTTAAGCACAATTCTGCGTAAATATACTTTCTGCATTGCAATGCAAAGCTTGGATCTTGAAAGTGATAAAGTGCAGATGCCTAGAGTTGTGATCATAAAAATGTAATTGCTGAGAAAAAAAGTTATTTCTGTTCCATTGGAAGAATTTATTATAGAAGGACGCAACTGTATAAGTTATCACACAGAGAAAATGAAAGTGAATGACTGAAATATATACCAGACTCAACATCCCTGCAAAACAACTTAGTGATTTACCTGTGCCCAAGAGAAAAAAATAGATTAACGATAAATCAGGTTCAGTAGAAAAGACTATAAACAGAGCAGATAAAGATTTATGAATAAATGAGTTTAGAAGTTGGAGTGACATAATAGTCTCTATGACCAATTACTCCAAAAATTAAAATGCAATTTTAAATTTGAGTTATATGCAGAGATAGTAATTTCTGTAGAACTTTGAATGAAGAGGAATATAGCATGAAGATAAGCGATAAAGAAAGGTTAGAATTTTCAATGAGACTACTAATTGATAACTTTACCTGGTAGCAGTATGAATTTAGTTTTTACATTTTTGGGGGTTTTTTGCGGGGGGCATTGGGGATCAAACTCGGGTCCTTGTGCTTGTGAGGCAAGTGCTGGAACCACTGAGCCAAATCCCGGCCCAGCAGTATGAATTTAAAGATAATAAATTTGTATTTGAATGTTTTTCAGTGTAATCAGAGTTTATATCTTATATTTAAAATAAGCCATATAAGTATTCAAATTTAACACTCTTTGGAATAATAGCCCAAAACTGGAAGCAATCTAAAAGCCTGCCAATAGATAAATTAATAAATAAAATATAGGATGTGTATACACTCACATATGTATATTATTAAGTCATTTTTAATAAGGAAGCTGTGCCATCTGCCAAAACAGATGAGCCTGGAGATATTATGTTAAGGAAAATAAACATACACAGAAAGACAAATACTATACAATCTCACTTACATGTGAAATCATAAAAGTAGAGAATAATATGTTGGTTTCCAGCAGTGAGGGGTTGGGAAATGGGAAGACACCAAAGAGTACAAACTTTCAGTTATAAAATGAATTAATTCAACCTGGCATGGTGGCATATGCCTGTAATCTCAGCACTTGGGAGGATGATGCAGGAGGCAGCCATGACTTCAAGACCAGCCTGGATTATATAATTAGACCCTATTGATAATTCAATAAATTATTAATATGATTAATTTCATATGACTTGGATAAAGCCAATGCCTACTGTAGATGGGATATTGTTGAAGCAATATGCCAAACCACTTGGTAAGAAATCAATAAACATTTTCAAGAATGCTGACAATAATCAAGGAAGATAAAATTAGCTTTACATTAACACGTAAATGAGAACTATCTGGCATAAAATAGGTACTTAGGGGCCAGGGATTTAGCTCAGTGGTGTCGCTGCCTGCCTCACAAGCACAAGGTCCCGAGTTTGATCCCCAGTACCAAAAAAAAGAAATAGATACTTGGTTCTATTTCCCTGACTCATCTACTTGTTAATCATAAAAACTCTGCATCTAGGCACCACATCAGAAGCTCCTAAAAGTAGCATAATCACTCTTTTTCTAAAATTTGCATTTCTTTCAAATTAAATCAAATAATTTCAGGTCATTTTTACCCATTTCATTTTTATGTGGAATCAATAAATGTATATAGGCAGGATTATAATAGTTTTAGAACATGCCAGAAAACACACAAACTGTGACCAGTATACTCTGATAGTATAAATTTCTATTGACTGCTATATCAATGTACTTAACTAAAACAAAAGACCTATTAGTTGCTGTTAGGATGTAAAAAGTAGTTTGGCAACAATACTTTCTCCATCATAAACAATAAGTCTGCATCCTTTGTGATTAACAGGTCTTAAATGACCAACTCAAATATTCCACTGTTATGGAACAAATAAGGTTTATGCAGTGGTGTTAATGTATCAGCCATCTCCAAAATGAAAGTCATTTCCTTACTCTATCTCCCTATAGTTGTGTAGGAAAAAAAATCTTAAATGAGTGGTGATAGCTCATTTAAAATTTTCCTCAAAACACTTGGTGATAGGTATGAAAAAGCCTAAAAATCACAACGCTGCCCATTTCTACACTTGATCTTAGCCAAAAGGCTGAGAAGCAATTGCCCATTTCTTTTACATTTAGTAACTAATCTGAGAAAAATAAATCCAATTGATGACAAAATTTAGGTACAAAGATGTTCAGCCCAGCAGTATTTATAACAGCAATTCATATACTCTGTAGATATATCACTTAAACATCCAAAAATGAGAGACTACTTTTTTAAAAAAGTGATAAAGCTAAATGATAATATAACTGAGTAGCATTTTTTTAATTACTCTTACAAGGAATGGGGAAATTATCAAATATCATCTTACATGAAAAAGTAGGCTAAAATCTACATATACAGCACTTTCTCCACTTTGTTTACATGGGTATTTTATGTCTATATAAAAATATATATTATTCACATTATAAAGTACTAAAAAGATGACAAAAGCCACCCATAATTTTACATATTACAAGTAAATGCATCAAGCTGGGGATTTAGCTCAATGGTTCCTCCTCACAAGCGCAAGGTCCCAAGTTCGATCCCCAATACCCAAAAAAAAACAAAAAAACAAAAAGAATCATTAGCACTTGATGGTAAAATTGAGTTGTTGGTTTTTTTCTCTTTCCCTACCTCTCTCCCTCAGGGTGTTTGTCTGTTGGTGTCTTCTAATTTTTTCAAGGAACTTTATCAGAAAACAATGAATAAAGGCTTTTTATTTTTTCCTTCTTAACATGAACCCATCCTGTAGGTACCTGAGACTACTAGCTTCTTGCTAGTCATCAATATCAATTTCTTACCAGATATCAAAATCTTTAAGACTGCCAAAGTTAATAATGAAAGTATCATCAGTGAAGCACAGGTTTTGAATTGTCTTTCCAGTAGCAGATCTCACTGTGTGCCAAGTATAAACATGTACAAAGTCTGTTCACAGAGGTACCCCCTTCTTGCTATTCATCTGACAGAGGATACAAGCAGAACATTTTTAAGGTCCGACATAAGGTCAATGTCATTTTGTACCCAAGTAAACCTTGACTGCTACAAATCTTTAGAAAAAGGACTTAGGAAGCATGACTCAAGTTAGATCTAAAAGGGGTTCCCTCACAAATTTTGGGTTGTGGATGAAAATTTAAATCTTTATCATCATACAATTTTCTTCAAACTCTACTTTAAGAAAATCCAATACATGAAATCTGGATCAGATCATCATTCTGCATATTATTAAAGGATTACTCACTTTACAAAAGACTTTATCAAAGAATTTCTTTAAATAGCTCCTTTTCGCATACTTTTTCTGTATTTTTTTTCAGCTTTAATTGAGTTTATTGGTATATTTTAGGGATACAGTACAGTTACATTCATTGTTGGGATCTTGTACCTCTACATGACAAGTCTTGATTCTCATTGTTTCCCCTTACCTCTGCCCTCCCTTCACCCCCTTTCTGTATTTTTAAAGATAGCTTCCTATTTTAACAAATAAACAGCCATTTCCCTTGAAGCAAGTCAAAGTCACTGGAATTCTGTATATACTAAACATTACTTTTAGGGCCAGGGTTTTAGCTCAGTGGTTCTGCCGCCTGCCTCACAAGCACAAGGTCCTGAGTTTGATCCCCGGTACCAAAAAAACATGGCTTTTAATCATGTTACTTGCCTTACTCAGTTTTCATGACTATCAAACAAGATCGTTTATATAAACATAGTTTGAAAACTATATTCTGTTAAAAGAGAATTGGGAGAAACTTTCAGAATTTTATTATTAATACCAAATACATATTTTTAACTTTTAATATATTTTTTAATTTTAGAAGACATTCATATGTAAAAATCAAGGCCATGGGCTGGGGATTTAGCTCAGTGGCACTGCATCTGACTTGCAAGTGCAAGATCCTGAGTTTGATACCTGGTACCCACCCCGCAAAAAAATCAAGTCTTTCCTTGGATCCTTATTTTTTCCATGTTTTATAACTATTCTGCATTAACTGCATATAAGTTCCATGGTTTTCATACCTGAATTATGAGAGGCTCCAGTAGCTTCTCTACAGTAAATGTTTGGACCTGCAGATCCTGAGGGTCGATATTCAGTGTGATAGGTGTTTGAGACGACATGCTTCCTATGCACCCTATTCACAAACATAAAATGTTTATTAGTAAAGAAAAATACATTTGAAATAAGAGCACTCAGAAAAGTTATGGAAGTTTGTATTCAGCACCTTTTCCTAATATCAGCTATATCTCTCAGAGAATCAAGGTGCCAAATCTACCATCTGAGAAATGAAATACTACTTAGGTACACTAACAAATTAATCTATGCTAGTAAATTCATAACTAAATTAAAAACCCATCAAATGGGTTTGCTCTTGATCAAAAGTGAAAAGAATTGCCAACTTGATGACGTATGTCTTTCACCATGCAGTGCTTTTTTTTTCATTATGTTTATTGGTATTTTTATGTATATCGTAGTTGCATTCATCATTGGTATCTTGTACATTTACATGATGTATCTTGGCTCTTATTTTTTCCCATATTCCTGCCTCCCTTTACCCCCTCCACCCTTCCCTATTTACAAAGAATTTGTTTTCATTTTTTTTCCTTTTCTCATGTTATCTCTTTTCCCTTCTTTCCTTTCCCCTACCCTTCCCACTTCCCCTGCTCCTTTAGCCCTTTTCTTTCTATTTCATATTATCAATTATACAATTTGAACCTTATTTACACTTTTAGCTTTTCACACAAGAGTAACTATATGGTATTTACACATGTGAGCTCCTAATTTCACTTAAGGGTATGGCCAGAATGTGCATCCAATTAGCTATAAATGTCTCTGATTTTCTTTTTTGTTGTTGTTTTTTGTTTTGGTTTTTTTTTTTATTGAGTTTATTGGTACATTTAGGGATACAGTACAGTTACATTCATTGTGTTTTTTGTTTTTTTGAGACAGGGTCTCACCATGTAGTTGAGACTGTAGTTGAGACTGACCTGGAACTCACTATGTAGCCCAGGCTGGTCTTGAACTCACAGTGATCCTCCTGCCTCAGCTTCCCAAGTGCTGGGATTACACGCATGCACCACCACACCCAGCGTGGTTTTCATTTTTTTATGGCTGAGTAGTACTACATTTCATTAAAAAACCCACATTTTCTTTGTGGATGTTTCAAAATTTTAGCTATTACAAACTATGCCACTATAAACATGGGTGTGCATATATCATTGTGATGTGAGTCTTTTAATTCTTTTGGAAAGATACCTAGCAGAGGGAAAGCTGGGTCAAATGGGACCCCTAATCCTAGTTTTTGAGGTGTCTCCATATTGATCTCCAGAGTGGTTGCACCAGTCTGCACTCCCACCAACAATGGAGAAGGATTCCTTTCTCCACATAACCCTGCCAGTATTTGTTATTGGTTAATTTCTAGATAGCAGCCATTCTCTCTGCAGTGAGGTGGAATCTCGTGATTCTTTTCATCTGTAGCTCTCCAATGACCCAATGATGTTGAACATTTTTTCATATATTTATATGCTACTTTTACTTCTTTGTCTGAGAAATGTCTGTTCATTTCAGATGCCCACTTTTGGATCAGGTCTTTATATTTTGGGGGCCTGATTTTTTTAAGTTATTTATATATTCTAGATAGTAGACCTTCATCTGAGGAGTAGCTGATAAAAACTTTTCCCCACATTGTAGGTTTTCTCTTAGCTCTGTTGGTGGTTTCTCTTAGAGTGCAGTAGTTTTTTAATAAAATGAGTTCTCAGTTGTTGATTCTTTCTGCTAGTTCCCGTGATACTGAAGATTGGTTCATAAAGTCTTCCTATGCCAATATCTTCAAGAGTTCTACCTAACTTATCTTCCAGTAGTTTAGTGTTTCTATTTTAATATTTATATCTTTAATCCACTTGGATTTTAGTTTAGTGAATGGTGAAAGATAGGGGTCTAGTTTTAATCTTTGGCAGGCTGTTTGTCCAACACCATTTATTCAAGAGGATATCTTTGCTCCAGTGAGGATGCTTGGCTCCTTTGTCAAATATGAGGTAGCTGAGTATAGCCAGAGTTGTGTCTGCATCTTCTAATCTATTCCTCTGATCCTCAGATCTATTTCTTTGCAGTGTCATGCTGTTTTTATCACAGTGGCTTTGTAGTATAGTTTCAAGTTGGAGACTGTGATATCCTCTGCCATGTCTCTGTTGCCTAGAATTGCTTTTGCTATTCTAGGTCTCTTCTTGCTCCAAATGAATTTTTTGATTATTTTCTCTAGTTCTGTGAAATATACTGTTGGGATTTCAATAGGGATTTCACTGAACCTGTATGACAATTTTGGAAGTATGGCCATTTTCACCATGTTGTTTCTTCCTATCCAGGAACAAGAGATATCTTTCCATTTTCTTATATCCTCTTTGATCTCTTTCTTCAGAGTGCTGTAGTTTTCAGTGTAGCAATCTTTTGATTCCTTTGTTAGATTGATTTCTAGATATTTCTTTTTTTGTGCTATTGTGAAAGAAATTGTTTCCCTAATTTCTTAGTGAGTCAGTTATTTTTGTATAAGAAGGTTATTAAGTTAAACGATGGAAAACAGTTCTCCATGTGACAGAAACCCAGAAAAAAGCAAGGATAGCTATCTTAGTTGTAGGAAAAGTCAATTTCAAACCAAAACTGATTAAGAGATACAAAGAAGGTCACTACATCCTTATAAAGGGAACAACCCAAGAGGAAGAGATGACAACCGTAAATATATATGCACCAAATATTAATGCCACCAACTATACAAAACAAATATTAAGAAACATGAAAAACCAAATAAGCACCAATTGTGGTGGGGAATCTAAATACCCCACTGTCACAGATAGACAGATCATCTAGACAAAAAATCAACAACAAAATACTAGAATCGAACCAAGCTTTTCAATGAATGCACTTAATAGATGTTCCACCCCACAAAATCAGAATATACATAATTTTTGCATGAACATGGGTCATTCTCCAAAATAGACCACATACTAGCTCATAGAACATGTTCAGGTAAATTCAAAGGAATTGAAGTTATCCCGTGTATATTATCAGACCATGGTGCAGTTAAGCTCGAAATCAGTAGCAAAAGAAACTGCAAGAACTTCACAAACACATGGAAATTGAACAACACTCTCCTGAACAGTTAATGGGTCACAGAGGAAATTAAAGAAGAAATTAGTCAGTTTTTACAAATAAATGATAATGCCAATACAACATACAGGAATCTATGGAGCACAATGAAAGCAGTTCTATGAGGGAAATTCATAGCACTGAATGCCCACACTAGGAAAACAGAGTGAGTTCAAATAACCTAATGATGAATCTTAGGCTCCTAGAAAAAGAAGAGAAAGAAAAACAAAAAGCTCATTAAAGGAAGGAAATTATAAAAATGAGAGCATAAATCAATGCAATGCAGACTAAGAAAATGATGCTAAAAAATCAATGAATCAAAGAGTTTATTTTTCAAAAGAATACATAAAATTGATAAACCCTTAAAGGTGTAGGGAAAGTGGGAAGGGTTGGGGAAGGGGAATAAGGGAAAAGAAAAAAATATGAGAAAATGGAAATAAAGTGTTTGTAAACGGGGAAGGAAAGGGGGTGAAGGGAGGGCAGGGACAAGGGGAAAAAATGAGACCCAAGACTTGTCATGTAAAGGTACAAGACCCCAATAATGAATGTAACTGTACTGTATACCTAAAATGTACCAATAAACTCAATAAAAAAATTGATAAACCTTTAGCCAATTTATCAAAAAAAGGAAAGAAAAGGCTCAGTTCTGTGCAATTAGAAACAAAAAAATCTGAATTCATAACAGAAACCTAGAGGATCATGAATATCTACTTAGAGAACCTATACTCTAATAAAATGGAAAACACAGAAGAAATGGACAGATTTCTAGATACTTATGAATTACCAAAGTTGAATGAAGAAGATTAAAAAATTCTAAGCACCCCAATTATAATCAGTGAAATTGAAAATGTAATTAAAAATTTACCAACAAAGAAAACCCCAGGTCCTGATGGCTTCACTGCCAAATTCTACAAGACATTTAGAGAACTATTGACACCACTCTTTAAACTTTTCAATGAAATTGAAAGGAAAGCAATACTTCTAAAATCATTCCTGGAAGCAAGTGTTAGTTTGATTCACAAACCAGAGAAAGAACCAACCGAAAAAGAGAACTACAGGCCAGTCTCCCAAATGAACATAGATGCAAAAATCCTCAATAGCATACTGGCAAACAGAATACACAGGGTCATCAAGAAGATCACACCCCCTGACCAATTCAGATTTATTCCAGGGATGCAAGGATGGTTCAACATATGTAAATCAATGAATATAATATACTATACTAACAGACTGAAGGACAAAAACAATCTGATCCTCTCAATAGATGCAGTAAAAGCATTTGACAAAATTCAACACCCATTCATGATAAAAACTATGCAGAACATTGGAAGAGATGGTCTTTATCTCAACTTGATAAAGGCTATCTATGAAAAACCAACAGTCAATATCATATTAAATGGCCAAAATCTGAAAACCTTCGTGCTAAAATCAGGAACAAGAGAAGGATGTTCCCTATCACCACTCCTATTCAATATAGTTCTGGAAACACATTAGGCATAGCAATTAGACATGAGAAAGGAATTAAAGCAGTAATTTGCTGACAATATGATACTCTACATAGAAGATCCAAAAAAATACTTTGCCAAAAGACTTCTAGATTTAAATGACACTTTCAGCAGAGTAGCTGGAAACAAGGTCAACACTCAAAACTCAATGGGCTTCTTTTAAACGGACTCATGAAGAAAGAAATTAGGGAAACGATTCCTTTCACAATAGCATCCCAAAAAATGAAGTATCTAAGAATCAATCTAACGAATCAAAACAACTCTACACTGAAACTACAGCACTCTAAAAAAAAAAGAGATTGAAGATGACATAAGAAAATGGAAAGATATCCCCTGCTCCTGGGTAGGAAGAATCTACATAGTGAAAACGGCCATACTACCAAAAGTGCTATACAGATTCAGTGCAATCCCAATTAAAATCCCAACAGTATATTTCACAGAACTAGGGAAAATAATCAAAAAATTCATTTGGAACAAGAAGAGACCTAGA